GTTCCCACTCTGCCCAGAGGCCCAGGGGTGGAGGGGTGGAGCCTCTTGGGCCCAATGTCTGCCTCCAAGGTTGTCCCCACATGGGTGGCCCTGCCCTGGGCAGACGCTGGGGCGGAGGCTGGGACATCGAGAGAACTGATGAAAAAAGGAGACAGGCAGTTACCAGTGGTCACTTACAACTTTCCGTGTTGACAGAGCGGGGAATTGGGGCCCCAAAAGGAAGAGTGACTGACCCAACGTTGTTCAGTTAAGACCAGATGTTAGACTACGGTCCTGTCTGTCCTCCTTGTTATTCCACTTGTTCTGAGGACATCCCGCAATACACTCGGGGTGGAAACACCGTGTTTTATCAAGCTGATCGTAGGCGGGAATAAGGAGTGGTTAATATTGTATTTTCATAGCTTTTTATTATTTTTAAAATGACAATCTTTAACTTCTTACAAGTTTGTCAATTTATTCATTTGAAAGTGAAGTACACTTTATTTTTGATAGCATTTGTTTTGTGTGCCTTTAAAAGTTGGGTTTTTTTTTTCTTTTGCTTTGAAGGACAAATCAAGTTCTGAAAAGATACGCTAAAACCCTAAGAGTACAGAGCATTTTGAGCTTGCATTTCTGTTTAAGTGGTCAAAACTGAAAAAGTTCAGGTTCAGAATATTACTAACCATATAGAGAAAAGAAAGCCAGTTTTCTCTGGTCCCACTGTATAAATTATGCATAATATTTAAGAGCAAGAGCTGGTCTCCATTTCAGTTATTGATGTGAAATAGAGCATTTTGGCTTCAGAAACGTAGTCAGAAGGCATTTTCTGTGCCCAGTTTATTCCCTCAGAACCAAGAAGCAGCTTGCTGGAGACGGTTTTATGTGGGGTTTGTCCCAGGTCCCATGTGCCTTGGAAATTAATGTCTTATGTTTCATTCAGTTCGGGTCAGTGTTCTGTACGGTACAAAGTGGGTGAATACATTCTTCCTAAAAGTGTCTTAGAGACTCAATGCTGCAAGTATTTAATTTGTGAAATTTGCTTTTACTTCTTTGAAAGGGACTGCTAGGTCAATAAAGTGACCTAAATCTGGCAAGCGACTGTCTCTCCTAAATACTTCATGATGCTATTCATGATCTTCTTCCTCTAAGGCAGCGACTGTCACCCGGCGCGCTGCAAGAATGTCTAAAACTCGCAGTGCCTGACCGTTGAGTCAGGGGCACTGGCCTCTTTCCTCTCAGATTGTCAAATGAAAAAATAACAACGGCCAATCCAACATTAGCTGCCTGGTGTGAATGAATCAAAATTGTATCTTTTTTTGTGTGTGTCAGATTGGTAAAAGTTATATTTTTTGGTGTGCTGCAGAATTTTAGCAATTAGTTTTTGTGTGCCATGAAATGAAAAAGGTTGAAAGTCTCTGCTCTAAAGGATGCTGTGAAGGAGAAGGTGAAAATGTAGCTGGTTCCAACTTCTGTGATTTATTAATCTTTGTATTTGTAACTTTGGGGAATAAACCAAGAAATGATAAAACCTCAGAGATGAAGATAGCTACAGATTTAATAGAAGAAGGTGCAAGGAGATATTAAAAAATGTCATACACTAATAACTCAGCGAATAAATCCTTTGTGACATTTGCTAAGAGCACTGACTATACAGAAAACTCTTATCCACGACAAGCTGGGGACAGTAAATGGCAAGAGTCAGGAGCAGCACCGGGTGCGGGAAGTGGCCGCACGATCTGCTATGTCCTCTGGGCCACAGGGAAAGGTTTGCTCCAAGCAGAGGCTCGATCTTCACTCTGTGTTCAGTTTCCACCCTCAAAGCTAAAAGCTGTGGCTTGACCTCGTGACATTTAGCTTGTTTCTAGGTAGGTAAGCGAAGGGAATAGAAGCATTTCAAGCCAACACAGGTAATTTCTGGAGGATTAGCCTGCACGGGCATGAACTGTCCTTGTCAGGACGGGGCTGTTTGGGGACGGGTGTGTGTGTGGGACAGGTGCGTGGGGAGGGCTGGAAGGGGGTGGGTGTTGCGAGTGGGGACCCAGCCGTCGTGGCTTCGATGGAGCAGAACTCAGCCGTGGAGGGCCGTCTGAGACGAGAGATGGCCCTTCAGAAGGAACATTTGCACAGTCCGTGCCTCCGCGTCGGTCAGCCTTTAGCTGCCCCGTGTCTCTCAGAACTCGCGCCACAGACACCTCTGGGAAGTGGACGGTTATGTCGTCATAAGCCAGAAACATTGGTGGGGCTGGTTTAGAAAGCAGTCACCCATCGGCTGGAACATAAGGTGGCGCATTTACCTAGAAAATCGGGGTGAGACATTCTCCAGCTTGGAGAAAGCTGGGAGTTCCCCTGGGAGTTCTGGGCGGCCTGTTGGGAGACGCTGGAGCGCCCAGACAGGGGGGCTGTGAGCTGAGAGCATCCGATGTCGGGGGGGAGGGGCTGGGACAGAGAAGAGGAAGTTTGTGGAAAATGTAGAAAAGTGGCTGACTCTCCCACCTCCTTTTCTGCACACGCTGTTTTGCTAGATTTCTAATAAAAAAAGAGACCAGCTCGCACCTATGCTCTCTCGCCACCTCCCACTCGGTCCCAGGGAGCACACACTCAGACGCCCACTTGCCACCTCAGCCACCGGGCCCACACGCTTCATTTTCTTATCCAGTTTATTGTTGTACATATGATATTCCGTGCTCCTGTAGGAATTATATCCAGGTTTACTTTTATTTTAAAAATCTCAGGGAAAAAAATGTTTCCAGTAATTTTCATTCAATGTGAATGACAAGAATATTAGAGCTATAAACATTGAAAGAACCGTTTCCTTTCTTCCTGAGGAAGTTTCCTATTTTAAACAATGAGAAGGAACTCTATAGAAAGCTAGTTTTCGGTTACTTTCTCTCTCACTCACTTCTCCCGTGTACTTGTTACTCTGTGACCCCATGGCCGCCCGCTGGGGCCTGCGCTGTAGCAGGCGCGCCAACGCGAGGCCGCCCCCCTCCCAGGGGCGTGGAGGGCTGGGGGTCCTCGCCAAGGGTCCTGCTCTAGGCAGCGTCCTCCCTGTGCTGCGGATGACCTCTTCCCTTTTCTCCTTTCATTATACAAGTGTGTTTTTAACCTTTACCTTCAAGGGCGAGCTGTTCAGTGGGCTCAGTTTACCTAGACAGAAATCATGCCATTAGCAATTTTTTTCAGAAGTTTAAATGCACATCTCATTATTAAAACATCAATGTATCCATTTTCTATTCTTTTTTTCTTTTATCAGCGGAACTGTTGTCAAAACACAAGCATGGTGCTGCAAATAACTGCTGGGGCCCGTTCTCACTAGGTTTGGCCTTCTTGGCCGCTTTTCCTAAAGGGACGGCACCCATGTTCCCCGCAGGCCGGGCACATCTGCTTGGGAAAGGTAGCAGCAAGCTGAAGGCTGAGTGCGCCGCGTCCGTCCCAGGACTTGGATTTTGCTGTTACAGTCATGGGTCTTAAAAACTGATTCTTTTGCCAATTCTTTCTGCTAATAACTTGTTTAAAAATGTGTGTATTGTTTGGGCACATAAAACTTTAAGAAACATATAATTAATAATTATAATGTAATTTTTAAAATTTATAGTAAGTGGAAGGATCTCAAGGCTTGTTTTATAATTACTGAATAATTGGTACTGTTTCACACATAATAACAATAAAAATATTTGGGTGATTGATTTTCCTTGCATATCTTGTCTTCTCCTAGTCATACTTTTGATAATGTTTTATAAAGGCTTATGTAACTATGGCAGGGAATTTATTTACTACTTACATATTTTATGTGTAGTGTGCATTTAAAAATTACGTAAATATAAATATAGGAAGATACATATGACATTCTTTTCTTTTTTAAATACTCTGTTATTCATACAATGATTTAAAATTTAAGTGTAAGTATATTTTAAGAACTGTGCCTGCGTTATCTTTGTACTTCCTCCATTTATTCAGAAGATGATCCATTCATAAGTTTAACTATGTTCTACTGTCTTCCACGAGAGCGATGTATGAACGATGCTAAAAAATGGGACTCTGCCCTGCTATTTCTTTTTTGCCTTGTACTAAATGTATCATTGCAAATATCAGATTAACTATCATATATTAATTTGTTTTTTGTTATAAACCTCTACATTATACAATTTCATTTAGAACTATGTGAAAAGCGTAGTTTTTCTATAATACAAAGGTAAATAACCTAACATGTCATGCAGAGAAACTGTCCTTCATTTTCCTTTGATAGGTTTTGTTCTGAGGAACGTTTAAGAAAAAGTTATTCACATTTAAGTGCCAGTCTGTTTCTGGAGGCAGCTCACGCCTCAGCTTCTGTGCCGGGTGTTCCTGCACATGCAGGGGGTGTGCTGGAGGCGGTGGTGGCTCAGAGGGGACACAGTCGTCAGGGGTCTACCTTCAGGGCTCCCTTTAGAGGCTCCAGGCGGAACATGTCTCATTGTTGTTACTGTTCTGGAATACTTAGTGTATTTCTATTTACCTTCCAATGGCTTTACAGCAGTGTAACCACTGCGTTATGGTAGAGGAGTTAGTCATTTTTATGTAAATGCGCTAGACTGTATTTGAAAATAACTTTTTTTTTTTTTGCTATAGCAGTTGTCTTTCTTTGATGCATATAAAGCTCATACATATTTTTTCCCCTACTCTAATCTTGCACAAATTGTAAATTACAGCTCTTCCTAAATGCTTTGGTGGATTTATATTTTGGCAAGTGTTCTTTACGGGTGTTAGGCCTTTGGCATTTTATGTTATGTTGTGATGCTTATTTTGCTGCTTGTTTCGTAGGATACTTTCTAGAATCAAAGAATAAGGAAACATCGCACAGGCAAACAGTGGTCTAAAATTCTACAGAGACACAGTCTTAGTGGACCTGTGAAATGGAGCGTTTGAGTTTGATACTCACATTGGTCCACGGCAGCCCCAGGGCCCGGGCTGAGGTGCGGGGAGGAGCAGGCCCGGAGGCTTGCGACGGGCGCTTTTCCTTTTTCTAGCCATCCCCATGCCAGCACACAGAGGGAACTTTTTGTTTACTCCTCTGAAGAGGTATATTTTTAAGCAGCCTTTTGGTAGCTTCTGGAAGCTTTGGGAAGGTGCTTGGATGTCAGAAGCATCCCCAGCGCTACGCCGCCTTCTGCAGCTCCTGTCGCAGCCAGGCCGGCAGCGGCTGCCCCAGCCTGTGCAGCAGCCTGGAGAGCCCCAGGTTGTGGTCCCGGTAGTAGCCGGACAGGAAGGCTCTGCTCTGGGGGGCAGGAAGGGGGAGAGCACACTCTGTTTCCCGGGCCATCACAGCGCACTTTGCCCGCCCCGCCTGCCACGCCTGTGCGCCTGCATCACACACGTGGACCTTTACTTAGCACAAGAAAAATCCAGGGACTCGGTTCTTACATGACCTGCGTCTATACACAGTTTCACTAGGGAAAGAGCTTCCATCATAAACATGTCATTTATTTGACTGTGTAGAATTAAATGTTAAAATAACTAGATTGAGTTGATGGAAATAGAACTTAACAATACTCTCTATGAACATCATCCCAGCCTTAAAGAAAGAGTTAGCTTGGCCAGTCTACGCTATTAAGTACTCCTTTGTTATCATTAATTTGCATTTATATTTTGAATACTTTGGAGATACTTATATTTTAAGGCATTTACAAAACCCTGACTGCTGAAACTGTGCTGTCAGCCTTACAAATACGGCAGGGGAGCAGGGGACTCTGCCCCGGGTGCGTGGGTGCCACTTGAGCCGAGGCCGGACAGCAGTGCCCCAGCAGCCGCCCTGACTTCACCGCCGGGACCGCCTGAAGCGGGGCAGGCCGTGGCCTGCGGCGGTGGCGGGTGCAGCTGGCGCGGAGTGCGCCTGGCCATCCGTGGTGAGGGACTTGTGGGGGCGTTTCTGTGCCTGTGCCCGTGCCCCCGCCCCCGCCCTGCCTTACACGACACTGGGAGCTTTAAAGCACTCGTTGAATCCCCTGGGCTCTTCTTCCTGGATGGCCTACGTGGCACTCCATTTTAAACGCCACAGAAAAAGCCTCGTCCCGATGGTCAGTTTCCTGCCGCATGCTGGGTTTTGGAGGAATCACGATCTTTGGCACTGGGCCAAGCACCTGTGCGCTGTTCTGAGCAGCCCTGAGATGAGGGAGGGCCCAGCCCTTTGTGTGGCCCTGCGTCCGTCTGTCTTAGCCCGTCAGCCCCGCTGGGACGCTCAGGCCGGGCCAAGGTGGGCGTGAGTTAGGCCTCCCGTCTGGGAGCCCCATTGCTCTGTGCCCTTTGCTTGGCCGGACCTGAAGCCCAGTCGGGGAAGAGTGAGTTTCCTAAGGTCCCCTGTGTCCTCTCTGAATAGCCCACTTCGCATTGTTTCTTGCGGTGACTTAATATTCCCACATGGCAACTGATGGTCCCGCACCCTAATCCACGGCCGCATCGAACCCCCGGCCCGGTTCTCCCGCCCACCCCTCTGGCACCCGGACTGAGCCTCCTGAGATCGAGGGTGAGCTCAGCCACCTCGCTTTCTTGGCCATGTGGGCATCATGTTCAAGCCTGGCGAGGGGTTTGGTGGCACCAGACAGTTCGAAGCTTAGCACGCCAGCAACTGTCACCATACAGGATGCAGCACACAGCTCCAAAGTGGCCCCGTGAAGGGACAGTGGGAATCTTCTGGTTCTGTTTGCAGTTTCTGGCTGATATGTTTCCTGCCTTGGCCTCAGTTAACATTTTTAGTGCTACCATTTCTGTGAGCGTAGCATTATTTTTGGAATGAGATGCCATCTTCTTTTGTTCTGATTCAGAATGGGAAATCCTATTGTTTCTCTTTATTCCTGCCCAACAGGTGACATGTCTCATTGGAAAAATCAAAACAAGCAGCCTGGGTGCTTTGAAATCCAAACGCTGCTTTTAATTTTTAGAAAGGCTAAATTTTGATTTCAATCACCTTTTTAAGAAACTAGATATATTATTATTTAGAATTTGGCTAATTTAGTTTGCATTTTAAGCTGCTACTTACCTCAGGGTCCATGGGAGGGTATTTTCTTCCTTTGCTCTTTCCAAGGCATTTTGTTTTACCTTCTTCCAGCAACTGACACCAGAAACCTTTGTGAGGATCAAACCTAAAAAAAGGAAAAACAGTATTTTTCAAGTAATTTATAAGATATAATGACCCTGAACATGAATATTTTTATTTGAGTATTAATCTGTAACCAGGGAAACTGGCACCCTTTTTGACTACATCTCTTTGCACAAAGCCTGTTGGCAGAACTCTCAGTCCATCTGTCAGATTTGTGAGTTGGCCAGATTCCTAATAGAAACGTTGTCAGCAGAAGGTCTCCTATTAATAGAAATTAATAAGCCTACCTCCTTCATCTGGAAGGGAAAAGTTTTATACATTTCAAGCCCATTTTTTCCCTTTCCAGGGTTTAAAAACGACAAGTCAGGCCCCACCCGTCTCTCTGGACAGACGTAGTGCTTATGCCATAAACTGCAGAGCTACAGAGGAGGAGGGCCGTGCTGCAACACGGGGATCCGTTCAGGGCTCCCCGTCTATCGCTCACCTCACTGTGTCCCAGAGCCACTGCCCGATTTTGCTAGGAGCTCTGAATTAAAGTACCAGCACCTACGAAATTGGATTTTAATGCCATAATTTTATAAACAAAGTAGTATTAGCTCATTACATTTAATTTTCATTCACTAAAATATTTCATGTAACTGTCATTTGAGCTTTCATTCAACCCCTTCCTGACTTCCGTGCCTGTTCGCACTTCACGAGGTGTGCGGCTCTGCGCCTGTTCCCCAAACGGGAGCTGAGCAGTAGATGAAAGAGGAGGAAGCATTGATCACGTTTTCTTTTTGGCGGCCTTGTGAGGTGTAACTTGCGAGCCGTGACACTCAGCCATCCTTGGCGTGCAGCTCAGTGCTCTGTGGGGAATGCGCACCCCGCCCTACTACCCCGCCACCCAGGTGGGGGGCGTTTCTCCCCCATCCCTGGGGACCGTGGCAGCTGGTCCTGGGCGTCGGCGCAGCCTGGCCGAGTGCTGGTCTGCTGTCTTTTCTCAGCCTGTCTTTTCTGGACATTTTCCTTTTTTCCTTTTCCTTTGCTGGTGAGGATATGCCAACCTTTGTTAACCCATTTCCCAGCTGATAAACACATGGACTGGCTCCAGTTGGGGGCTATTATGAAGGTTGCTGCTGGGCACATGTCTTGGGGACAGTCCATTTCTCTGGAGATGGAATCCTAGGACTGCACTGGTGTGTTTGTGAAAGTCTGTTGAATTTTTTAAAAATCCGCAAAACTGCTTTTCCGAAGTTGCCACATATTACATGTTACTGTAGTAATATATGAGGGTTCCAGTTTCTCCACCGTCTCACCAACATTTGATACTGTCTTTTGGATTAGAGCCATTTTGTCGCATCTCATGGTGGCTCCATTTGCTCATTGGTATGATGACACATTTATGATGCAAAGTCACAGTCATGTGTCTGGAGATGGGTTCTTTTGACAATCAAGTTGGAGACAGCTTAAAACCTCATTTTAAGGTTTCAGTTTTTTGAAGGAAGTACTTCCTGTTGATAGGGCATTCATTAGTAAAAATGCACAGTGTTGTGCTTCTCCAGCTCTGGCGTCTTGTTCCAACGTGGAGAGCTGAGTGGGTTGGAGTAGAGGCTGCAACTACTGCCTGGCTGCATTGGCGCCCTGCCTCCTTGCTGAGCTGTTCTGTGCCCCAGTTCCTTTGCTGAAAACTGGAGCTAATGGGATCTGTCACATAGTGTTGTTACGAAGCAATTCATGAAAATACTTACTACACATAGCATATTCTGACTTTGAAATGTAACAACCACTTTTGAAAACAAATTCATCCCAAGAAATAGGAGCATACGATTCTCTTCTCTTTTACCACATAGCACCCTGGGCTCTCTTCCTTGGGTCACCTAGAGATTAAGCAGATTTCCACTGCCGCGGAGGCTGCTTTGGCTGCTGAGAGAAGTCTTCACGCAGTGCGTTTTGACTCAGACTGCTCTCGGGTGGCATGGGGGAGGGTTCCTGGCACAGGGACTTGGCTGCCAGAGAAGTGATATTGGGCGGAGCAGAGGTCCTTTTGAGCTTCGAAGCAGCTTCAGCTCTTTATCACTCAGCTAAGCCCCATCCACACAACAAACAAACACAACCTTGATGCAAGCCCTGGCTATCAATTCCTTATTGCCCACTTATTGGGGGCTTCACAGTAAGTTAGTATTAAACGTCCATACGCTTCTGTCTGCTTGCATTCAGGCTGACAAACAGGATCACTGACAGAGAAGGGAAGCCCTCAGGTTCAGGGGTCTCACTCCCTGGGGTTTCTAGGGGGCCCCTGTCCAGGCCACTGGTGGCTAAGGGTAACTGTGAATGGATATACTCACCGAACAGTTGAGAGCTTGTATTTTTCATGGTAGCTGATAAAAATGAACACAGTTCCATGCTGACCATTATTTTCCCTGCTTTCCGTCAAACGATCAGTCAGCTTTAAAGCACTAGGTGACACAAACCCCGAGAGCTAAAATAACGTCAGCGCGTCAGTCCTGTTTACAGTCGTGGGATTAGGGTTATGTTAAACAAGAGTTGTGAGTATCAATTTACCTCACTGAATGAGAAAGTTCCCGTTTATATTGTTAAGAGCTTATTCTGCTTATTTCAAATCACACCCACACTTCCTAAGAAATCACATTTTTTTTTACATATTCAGTATGTCGCTTGAAGTCCATGGTGACAGCGGTAAGTCATTTTAAGACCTCACACCCTATCCAACACCATGTGAAACTTGGAAGTCTCGACCGCTTCCTTCAGTGACTGTGGAAAGGGATAAATAATATTCTTGACAAGAGAAACTGATGGCCATTTTTTGAAAATCATTTTGAAACTGGCATTTTTTGTGTTGAAGACCATCAGTTTTTGCGCTCTCACACGGGAGCTGCCTTCCGTGCCCAGCGTGTGAGCTGGGCCTTCGCGTAGCCTCCCTCACGTGCTCCACTGGGCGCAAAGCGCTGGCTCGGGGCCCGTGGAGGGGCTGTGTCTGATTGCAGCTCACTGCATTCTTAGAGGGCCTTATGCCCATTTTTTTAAGTGCCAAAGAGACAGGCTTCACTGTCACCAGCAAGAACAGGAAGCAATGAATGGCATTTCCGAGATGCTCCTTTTGTCCGCCTGCTACCCCAGCGTGTGCAAAGCACCACGCAAACCGCTGCTCAGTGCAGGTGTCTTAACCAGAGTAACCGAAGGCCCGGGGCACGGGAGGGCATTCTTACACCAACTGAGACTGGGGACAATGACAGGAAGTGCCAAATACTCTGTGGCAGGCAGGCACGCTGCTGCTGTTTGCCAGATGCATCAGGCCTGCTGCCGGCTAACGAGACAACAGAACAAGGAACAAACCACTGTAGTCATCCCCGTAGGGGGCGAGAGGTGGAGACCACCCCTGTTGAATCTTGCTGCTCCGCTTGCTGAGCCCCCGCCAGAGAACCGTGCGGCAGGGCATTGCAGCCGGTGCGCCCAGGTGCCCAGCGGGCCGCAGCTGTCGGCCGGCAGCGCGCTGCTTGGCTGTCACCCCTCTGCCGTCCGCAGCCCCGTTCCCCGCAGCGGAGCTTGCTGTCAGTGAGGTGTGCAGGGCAGAGCACCCGCATGCAGGTTGAGGGCCAGCCTGGGGAAAAGGTGGCGTGTCTTTCCAGAACAGCCCACTTTCCTTCTCTGAAATAGTACAGTGTTATGTTGGGTATGTGATAAATGAGACCCAAGATGAGCCAATGTGATAGAACACTGTTTAGAAAATAAAAACTTCCTTTCCCAGGAGACACTTAGAGCAATATAAAACAGGAAGTAGACTTGAATTGCTAGCTGCAACTGAAATCACTCGGCTTTCTTAGGTCACGCTGGGAGTTAAGCACAGGGGGCTGATGCCTGAGTTAGCCAGAATTAAGCTCCTGCAAGCTCGAAGGGGACTCGTGGCACAGAAATCGTGTTGTCCGCCAGCTAATGGCACCAACGAAGGAGAGGGCTCTGGGAAGGAGGCTGGGAACTCGGGTGCCACCCTCTCCCTTCTCTTCGAACCCCAAACATCGCCCTTCTGTGTGTCCCTCTGTGTGTGATTTGTGCAAGATGTTTTTCTGCCAATGTTTTACTGTAAATACCACTGAAAGGTAAAGAATCCTGCCTCTCATTTCACCTTCTCACATAGGATAAAGAGCACATTGGAAAGGGAACATCAATTCATCCATAGAACTGGGTGTTACATCAATAAATACAATGGAAAAATTCCACAATGCAGCCTTTTCCAGTTTGTTTTAAGGCTTGGTCTATGACTGTAAAATTAAATATGTATGTTACAGTGAGAGGCGGGTCATAGCCCATCCACCAGCATCTTCAAGCCGCTCCAGGCATGTGACACAGGAACAAACACAACCCTTGTCCCTCGGGCGGCCAGCCCTTGCACATGGGCCCAGTAAGATGCTGAAGGAGTCACCCAGTTGGGACTCCAGAGAGGCTGGGGTGCCCAGTTAAGCAGACGCTCTCTCCCCAGCATTCGCACAACCCCAGGAGGACGGGCCTCCTTAGATCCTGGTGCCTCGCTTGCCTCACCTGGTCCCTGTCCCGCTGGGGGCTTTACCTAGGAAAATCACAGGGAACCAGCAAGAGGAAACAGAACCAGAGCTGCAACCACTGAGGCCCCTGCAGGAGAGGGGGTGAGTCAGCCCCACAGTGGGTGAGGCCAGAGAGGCAGACACGGGTCCCTTCGCACCCCTCTGCCCACACAGCGCCCGTGGGCTGCCCTTGCGGTCAGCGCTGTGTGTGAAGGCCGCTCACAGCTACTGGTGAGTCCCCTCTTCCGACTCGGGAGCCCAAGCACTGTCCGTTAGACAGGCTCAGCATGACCAGTGGACAGGCAGCCTCTTCTAAGTTGAGGCGCTGGTTTTGCGATTTACAACTGTTTTGTTCCCCAGCCCCTTCCAGAGGAAAGTTTTCATAGTTAGAAATCAAAAGAGGACTTTGACATGTCTTTGCCACGTGGCTTAAATGCTCTTTCCCAAGTGGCTGATGTCAACCTGGACAAGAATCAGTACATATGGAACAGCTGGCACGAACTACGCCAACAAACTACAATTTCCTTAAAACCATTTTGCTGCTGAAACCGCAATGTGTTCATTAGAACACAGACTTACGTTAAAGCTTCTGAGTAATTATAATGACGAGAGACTCCTAGAAACTTCTGGACTTCATCCATCACAGTAGCAGGATCTGTTCTCAGCTGTTGCCCATCAATAATCAGCAGCTAAGTTACCAAAGAAAGAGAAAAGGCAATGTACATTGAGAAAGACAAGGAACTGTATTGTACAAGTTCTCTGCAGTCTTATTTGTTCAGGAGGAGGCCCTGTACTGAGGGGTCTGCATGCACCACTCATAGACCAGACCAGGTGGCCCTCTCAGGTAACCCGCGACAAGAAACAAATTGCACGAATTGAACGCACTCTTGTTCTGTAAGTGGAGAAGTCCTGCAAACACTGTGCGAACAAAAAAGCCCCCTGAGGGGACCAGGGGGGCTTAAGAAATGTGGCTCTACACTCACAAGTGGAAACCAGGTCTACAAATGTGCAGCCACGGAGCGTACCATTCGAGCTGGGGAGGACTGCCATCGAAAGGAGGGAAGGTTAGAAGAAGACCTGCTGTAATGCCACACAGGACTGGTCACTCTCTGAGGTTCTGTTTGAAGAGGGAGCACTGTCAAGTTTTAAGGAGGATTTTGATAATCCAGTTACAGAAAGAGATAAGATGCTCAGAAACCTGAGTGTGGACAGGAGTTCCTCAACGGACTAAGTGGGAGAATTGCCTTGTTACTCTGGTTGGAGGGGTGGACCCAGCAAGACAAGTGGCGGCAGAGCGTGATGGAGGGCCCCCAGGCCTGCAGGGCAAGTCTTCCTCACACCTGTTCTATCCTGTCCTGTTTACTCCAGACCAGCATTGTTCAGTAGAGCTTCCTGTGAAGACGGCCGTGCTCCAGAGGTGTGGTGTCTACCAGGAGGCTATCAGGCAGTTGAAACGTGGATGGTGTGATTGGGGAACTGAATGTTTAACTTTCTGTGACTTTAATACACATTCAAACAGCCGTACAAAGTAGCTGCTCTCACGCTGCACAGCATGGTTCCAGACCCACAGCCACGTGGGTTGTGACCAGACTGCTTTTGGCAATCAGCGTCAGCTGTGACTTTGTCATTTGGTTGCTGCTTGGCAAAGGAGACACTCAGTGAAGCTGGGAACAACACAGGATTCAGAAAAATTCTGCAAGGTGGTTTGAGGGAAACAATGGCACTTAAGCAAAACAACGTTTGCCTTGTTTGGTTAGGAGGCGTTCGAGCCTTCTTCTCAGAATAAGAATCAGGGCTGCGAAGCTCTCAAAGCTCTCAACAGTCAGGAAAGGTGTGAGCTAGGAAATAGAGCATGGAGAATGAACCTGAGATACTTTCAGAAAGAAAATTAAACAGCCTTTCTACCTCTGCCTATTTTTTTATTCGTTGCCACAGTCTCATTATTTACAAGCAAGGAGTAAAAGCTGGTAATGTTTTAACGAGTAAAACTTTCCTCTGTGTTGGAGGCAGAGCCAGCCACACTCAAGTTGTCACCGTTCCATACCTGCAAGGCGGGGAAGTACAGGAGCCACCTCTCGATGTGGCTGGCGTACCATCCTGGGACCAAACACCGCTTCTGCAGGGCGCGGAGCTGGGAGGGCGCACTGGGCCCAGCGGAGATCACTTCGTAGAAGCTGAACCTCAGTGCCGTGGGGTCTTTGTGTGATCGCTGATGCTATGGTGTAAAGGTGGATGATGACACTTGAACCTCAGGCAAAAATAATCACAAAGGAATCTCTGGCGAGCCTCCCAGCTGAGGGCAGGGCTGCCTCCCCGCTGGAGAGGCAGCTGCTCTGCACTTGGTAAAGGATGAAACTGCTTTCTCAGAGCATCCGGAGTCGGAGCTCTGACCCGGGGAGAGTGCATTTTTGAGGCCAACTTTATGGACTCGTTTCCTTGGCATATATATTTTATTCTGAAAGTCAACTCTTGGGGGCACTGTGGATGCCCCTGGAGCCCACAAGCAAAGCATTCATCACATGTAGCGAGTGTCACGATGCACGGAACTCACCTGCACGTGGCTGCCGCCCCAGGGATGCACTGTTACAAAAACCCTACTGGCCACTTTAAGGGGAGAAGGGGCTGAACACACTGACATGCACATCTCCTGAAACCCACAGCTTTTCCCCACAGTTCTCGGGTCTGAAAGCCAACACTGTTTGACCTCGCGCTGACCTTTGCAATGAATCAGAAGCATTTCTTACAGAAAACACCAGAGAGCAGCAACCCAAGCAAGAAACTGTTCCACAAGGTCCAGGGGTTCGAGCAAATCGCCTTCGCCCTGAATCGCCCAGTAAGTACCCAGGCTCGGGGGTGGGCGTCGGGGCGTGCACCACATCCGAACGGCAAATTGGGTGCAATTGGGACTCAGGTGACCGTGTACTGCGCACCCCCCTGGACGTGGTGGAGGCCTGCATGTTGTCCTTGTGGAGCGCTTTATTTGTAATATTTGGGGCGTTCTTGTTAGCTTGCAGCCTTGAAACCTCCCTTTTCAGTAAACTCTCAATTTTTCAGGGGCTAAGTGGTTGCCAAGCTCCAATTTTCTTCTTTCTCATTCGGTCAATTAAGGCTCATTTCTCTTTTCTCTAGATACCTGGCAGAAAAGGTAAATGATGCAAAATCGAATCAGTCAATTTGCAGTTTGCTGTTCGTTGTGATTTAAAACGTGGTTCTAGGAGGCTGATGCTAGGGGTCAGCGTGAGGTTGTGGATTCCAGCCTCCGGGGACCCGTCTACTTGTGCGGCCTCCCCCACCCTGATCCAGCTGTAAAACCTGTCCTTAAATCCTGTTGTGAAGCAGGAGACACTGCTTATGTTAGACAAGAAGAGGGCCCTGTGCTGAGAAACTTTGTTCCCTAATATCGTAGATTACCAAGAATTTACCGGCTTGAAATCCTATCAGTGAGAACAGCACATTCTGGTCTTGCTTGGGGGCTGGAAGCCATGGGGCCACCTTACTTCCACTCAGGTGCAGAGTTTCAGGTAAGGGGTTTTTGGACACAACATTCCACATTTATCTTCACTTCATAGCTTCCAAGGAAACAGGAGACAGTCTGCTCTCCAGGCCTGACCCCCCGATAACCCCTCACATGCGTGTGGCCCTGCTGTAAGCTGACCAGAACACTCCATTTTAATTTTACCCGAATCCTCCCCTTATAAATCCTTCCCTTCTTTAGGGAGGTGCCCGGTCCTTCCTCTGCTCCGCCGATGGGTGTACCTGACCTGTGTCCCATGGTCTTTGTTGGATGGGCTTTATCACTCGGTGGGAGTCTGTGTGCCACTCAGTACTTCCTGATTTACTCTCTGGTTGTTTACACATATTTCTCCAATTACATGGTAAGCAGCCTCGAATGTAACATCCACATGTATTAATTTATTGTGAGATCACACTTAGAATAGTACTTTGTGCGTGGTAGTCATTAAAACTAATGAATGGGTGAACACGAGATATCAGGAAAGCATTTCTTAAATTACCAAATGGCAGAAGGATAAATAAGGATGCTAGAGACTAGGGACACTGACTTGTATTAATTTTATGTTCTTATATTTAATTTTGGGTGCTTTTTATTGAACCTTTTCCACTTGGTGATTAAAATATCACTAGGACAGTTTTTTTCTAGTGTTTTTAATGATTCATTAAAGCAAAACAGGTATTTGCTATATAAGTATTATTATGAGAGTCTGTTAGAGTAGCTCAAAGCGATAATTTCTGCTCTAGGTTCACTGACATCAGAAGCAACGGCCATGGGGGTGGGTGGAAGGCCCACAGGGTTTAGACTGGCTGGGCTTCCTGGTAGGAAGGGCTCTTGCATTTAGTTTTGCTGCTAAGTTTTAAGTTTTTCTTTTTCAGTACAAGCAGTTATTTAAGATGTTTTAGAGTCAGGCTCATCAATCTATAGCCCACCAGTTAAATTTGGTTCCCACTTGTATTAAATAAAGTTTTACTGGCACACAGCTAAGCTCATTCACTTACATACTCTCTGTGGCCACTTTTGAACACAGCAGCAGAGCTGCGACAGAGACCAGCCCCGGGGCCGGCCAAGCCTGCAACCTGCCTCTCTGTCCCCGCAGAGCAAACCTGGGACGTCGCTGGGGGATGCGTTCCATTCCTCAATGGTAAAACAGGCAGTAAAAGCGGCATTACACGTTTGGGGGAAAAATAATAACTTTAAATTATTATAATATTTTACTTTAAAAATGCATATGTATGGAAGCACAGATATACCTCAGTATGTATTATTTTGTTTGTTGTATTTTAATTTCCTCATTGCACTAATGCATTTCATTCAATAAATTAATTAAATGAGTAAAAAATTAATAAAATCTTGAGAAAATTCGTTTCTCCTTGGCAACAAAGAAAAACATATCTGCCCTTCTGCAGATATAAAAATGAACAAGTCCTTTTTGTTTAAACCTGAGGTCTGTGTAGCCCCTCATACCTGCTGGGCTCTGTCTGAAGTCTCCTCACCTGGTACCAGGAGTAGGCTCGGTCCGAGGGGTCGATGAGGGTGGCGATGATCTTGGCCTTGGGGACCAGAGAAGCCGCCCTTTTCGGCGCCTCCTCGGAGTGGAAGTAACTGGCACTCTTCTCAAACAGAAACTCGGTGGTGGCGTTAGACGGGACTGGGAAGAGACCCATGTACCTGGGAAGAGAACGTCGCCCCCATTAAGACCGGTTCACACTCCGACCGGCAACGCAGACGTTCAGGGCGTCCCCCCGATTTACCGCGTCCCAGGATGAAAGCCTTTTTCTTCAAGGCGCTCACCCCGCACAGCTATTAGCAAGGAGAAACTGCACGGAACACTGACCCTGTGGTTTGAACGCTTGTCTGAATAGGGTTTCTTGTTGCTTTGCTTAATGTCAGGAAAAAGGTATCAGAGGTAACAAAAACAGACACAGAGGGATCAGACTGCCCCTGTAACACGCCAGGGCTGCTCTCCTTTCACAACGGCCTCACCCTCCGCTCCGCCTCGTCCCTTCCCGAGCCCCAGTGCGGCCCGGCCGCCTGGGCCCGGGGTTCAGCGCCCCGGGGCAAAGGGCCACTCGCGCTGGCGCGAGGACCTCTTCTTGAGGCCTGCTGTCAGTCCTCGCCAGGAGGCGCTTCCGCTCGGGTTCCAGCGGACACGTGCTGGGCTTTGGCGGGTGCCACGAAGCCCCGTCTCAAAGCTCAGGGCAGTGGGGGAAGAATGCCTTTCAGGTCTCTTGGGACCTGCCCGTGGCAGACATCGCTCTGGCATCCTCTGGGGGAGGGAGATGCAACCGGCACCGGGCCGCCGCCGAGCTGGCTCCCCGTCCTGCGTGTGCGCCGTTCAGGGCTAGGGCTGTGCCGCTGGAGGCCGCTTCCTCCGGGAGCTCGCCCTGGCCCGGGGGCTGAGGCTCCCCCGAGCATCTTGTGGCTCCGTATCCCGTCCAAGGTAGTCTCAAGTGTGCAGACTCTGAGAAAGGCCCCACAGGGCCCCAGAGAGGGGCGGGAGGGGTGGATGCAGATGATGTTCAGTGTCTGAAAACTGTGTTCCCTTCGCAGCCGCCCTCTGCACTGGGCATGGGCGGGGCCTTGACATCCTCCACCCCGAGCCCCCAGGGTCTTGGACGGACACGGGGCAGATCTCACTGGGCTCCCTTGCTGCCCAGCTTTGGTCCACATTTTCTTAGAACAGTAGCTGGTACTTAAAGGTACTTGAAAAATGCGTGATGGGCAAACAGGTAAGTAAGTGGAATTCAGCTTCTTTCCAGGGTGGAGACAGACCCACCTTTGGGCACTATGAGTTCAGGCTACCCAGGGAACTCGTGAAAGACAACTGGCTGAACAATTTGGGGGTTAAAAGCAAATGTCTGCCTCATTTAAGCCTTACTGTTTCCAAACACCTCCGCACATTTTTTTTTTTTTTGCTAAAAAATGTGATTTTTGCAATTCCTCCCATTTGTTTGCTACGTGGGTTGACCCTGAATATTTCCTGGTGATTTCATTCAAAGCCAGAGGAAGACAGGGGCTCTGCCTTTGGGCAGGACCCACGGCTGCGCCCGCGCCCCTCCACCATCCCCCTGGCGTGTCACCAGCTACCAGCCACGAAAGGCACAGCCTCCCTGGGAGCACGAGCCGCTTTCCTGAGCGACGCCTGACCGCGGCCCCGGCTGCCTGTCTACGGCTGGGCTTTCCCAGCCTCGTTTGCCCCGCCCTCTGCCGCCCGCCTGCAACGGGCGCCGTCGCGGGGGCAGCCCCGCTTCCTGCCGGCTCTCCAAGGAGCGCGGCCGGGTCCAGACTGCCCGACGGGGCCCGGGGGTTCTGCAGGGCGACCGTGGCCCCTGAGGCACACGACCCCCCACCTTGCGGCTCTGTGGCCCCGGGATGACAGAGTGACGGCTGGGGCTTCCCGGAGGGCAAGGCCCCAAGGCCCGTCTGAGGACCCGGACGCGTGGGTGCTGGGAACAATGCCGTTGCTAGCAGAGAGGCATTTGCAGTTGCCAGTATTTGTCATTTGTGCTAATTGCCTTTTGTAAACATGTAATTTGCCAATCAAAAGTGTTTGCGATTGGGGTGTTTTTAGTGAGTTATAATTAAAGTTTGTAACCACTCCTTAGCCTTCTGCTCACTTCAGCCGTCTCTTTGGAACCTGCTGCAGGGCTTTCTGTCCTGCTGCCGAGCCTCTGCGCATCGCTGGCTCGTGAACCGCTCCCTGCTTTCCCTCGGCTGTTCTCCCAGATGGTCCTCAGTCCCAGGACCCACGGGCCTCACGCGGGCAGGGGCCGGGCCAGTGGCCTCGCGCCGCTGATGCAGAGGGTGCCTCTAGGTCCCCCAGCCGCCATCCAGTAGGGCACAGCGGCTGACACCAGCCCGGCCCGGGGGACGGGCAGGGAAATGGGGGCCGTGAGAGTGTGTGCGTCCTGGCAGGGGTGGACTGGCGCTCAGCCGTTGCCTCATCTCTCCATTTAGGCAGCCCACTGGCCCGTCCGGGGGGTGTTGCTGCTTATAGATCCGAGATCACACAATTTGACAGTGGGATTAATGTACGTGAACAATTTATGCTAAAATACAGGCAGAATATTTATGTTCATGCTCTGCAGTTATTGTAAGAAAAAATTCCACACTTGTATACTACTTTCTGCCCAGAATTTGTACCTTGTTGGCAAGACTTGTATGTTAATTTTATTATTAACTCACTTGAAACATCTTTTTACTACATTACTGTATTTACACTCCTGTATTTTGTGTGTATTTGACATTTTAACTTATTTTCCTTAAATGGTTGATATATTTCTAATTTGAATTCAAAGACCAAAATTCAAATTTTGCATATTGTCTATATCTTTTTTATGGCTCTCATTTACTTATGAAATATACAGACATTTCTGGTTCTATTTATTTTCCTTTTATGCCGAAATAAAATAGAATATTATGTACCCGGACGGCAGCGTCACTTCAACGAGAAGTGCGCGAGGAGCGAGGGCGAGGGCGGCGTTTGCCTCAGGCAGAGAGGAACGAGGTTCCTGCAGCGACGCGGCCCCTCCGCCGTCACGTCCGTGACTACGTCAGAGACAGCGGATGCAAGTCAGAATTACACGTGGGCCTCTTGGGACAGCAAGTCCCTTTCAAAAACTGAGATGAGCTTGTTTGGGTAAATTCTGTTCTCCTTCATGTATTCAATTTCTAAGGCGCAGAGGATAACATTTAGTTGTGGCTACAAACTTAAAAGTTTATAAATGTGAGTGCACAGTACATAGACTTTTAGATTTATACTAATAACCCATCTTACCAATCAATCCCCCTGTGGTAGTTATTTCTATTAAAGAACTGTACCTCCTCAAAGGTTTGGGGGCTGGGGGAGTTACTAAGGATGGAGGGATGCATAACCAGGAACAGATACAGAGCAGTGGTTCCTGAAAAGACAGCAGAGATTTAGAGATTAATCCAAAGAAAGCACAGTTTCCTACTATTCACGTTGCAAAGACATCAATAAACTAAGCACTCCAATGGTTCAAACAGATACACAGAAGCGCCCCTTGAATTACGTGAAGAGAAAGCCGACATTTAAGAAGAAGCAGGTTCTAAAATGTGGAGCTGGGGCACCGTGAGGAGAGCCCGTCACCGGGCCGGCCTCGGCTCCTCTGCCGCCGGGTTGGGCCGCAACCCCGGCTTCGGCTTCTCTTGGTCTCAGCTCTATTAGCAGAAAATCACCTGCCTGCCTTGCTAAGTTCCTAGTCTCTCTCTGAGGATGAAAAGACATATTGTACCTGCAGTTACTTTGACAGGAATAACGCACTTTTACGAATGAAAGATGTCACTATTTAACATATGATAGTACTTGACCTAGATCTTTGCTGGGGTTCTCCTTGCAAGTTCCTCCTGGGGCCTATGAGTGCCTGTTAAATTTGAGGCAGATTTTAATCTTTCAACAAGTTCATTCAGGTGAGACTGTACTTACATAGCTATAAAAAGTAGTGTCAAAACCATTTAAATTGCTAAATTTGAAAAAAACTTGGTATGCTCTCTTAATGCATGACTTAGAGAATTTGCATTTTTTTGAAACAGAATGACACATCACAGATAGCCATGTAGATTTGTAAATATTGGAGATCAAGAGTCTGAGTTTTAAAGTGAGCAGTGTCATAAATGGTAAAATTAGTGTTTTAGTGCCTGAATTACAAGCTAAAGGGTGGAGCTCACTTAGCTGCTGCTGGAGAGAGTAGGGCAAGCTGAGTTCAGTTTGCCGAGGATTTAACCGATCAGACTTGGCTTTATAATATCTTTCTCACGTGGAGAAATTACTGTTCTAACGTTGCTTAGTAATAATGACTGTTTCAAATTTTGAATTTTATCTCTCTGGTCGGTTTTATTTCGTATTGTACTTTACTATATTAATACAACAGAAAAATTGTTAAAATAACTCTGTCAACAGCAACATTGTCTAAAATAATGAATCGAGAGAGGCAGTGTTCCCAGATGATATCTCAGCTAGATAATGAACAGTGTATCTACAATCATAGATAACCTTAGGGAATGAAACACAGTAATCTATGATATACACAGTAGAAGTATTTGTCAGGACTTAGCAAGCTTGGGCTGGTTCATACCCAGGATGCTGAGCCCTGTCCTAGAATTTACAATTCAGCATCCTGAAAACCAGCAGTCTAGCAGGAATGTGGAACAAAATCTATAAAACTAACTGGGAAAAAACTTCCATTATTTGAAATCCATAGTGGAGTAAATCTCTCTAGAGCATGGTCATCTAGTGTCAAGTATAATTCTAGGATCAAGAGTTTTATTTCTAACACTTCGTGTGAACTTGAACAGAAAAGGTCTAACCTGAGTCTGAGTTTTCTAATCTTTTTAGTGAGGAGGGAAAACCCTTCGCTATCAAGGTTTTCCAGGGGTCACATGAGATAACCTATATGGAAGCACCTGGACGGCTCTATATCTGAATAGCAGTAGGATTTAAAAAAACAAACAAACAACTTATTGAGACAAAATGCAGTACTACATTTTAAAAAATGAGAACAAAATCTTGTGAGGGTAGAAAGTAAGGCGATTAAAATGTAAAAAAAATAAAGTAGATTAATTCCTTTCTTAGATTAACTGAAAGCATTCTTTTCTGAATTTTATTTGTAAGAATTGTATTAAGTCATGCTGTTTGCTTGTAACAGCATGACCAGCATTAATAAGACAAAAATAAAAAGATGATCCAATAGTTTACCGACTAGATGACCTAGTCGGTAAAAGGCATGATGTAAATTATCAATGGTTTGTGGTTTCTGAAGTCTGTCTTTACCTACACATATTCATGGGTCTGAATACACTGTCCTGTGTGTGTATGTGTGTGTTTATATGTCTGTATAAAGTCATAGACACACACATTCCAGTCATCATCCATAAGATTCAGCCTTTGTATTTTTGTTAGTTTAAACACATTTGCATATCCAGATGACTCTACACATGTGTAAAATTATTCGTAAAAATACATTTGACAAAAGTAAAAAATGAAGCTATTTAATTTTTATGGAAGTGATATTCAAATATAAGAAGATATTTTTGTTCATTTGAAAAATTTCAGGAAATGTTGATATACTCAACAACATGGATGAATCTCAGAAGCATTATACCAAGAGAAAGAAGCCAAGCACAGAGATTGCACACTTTGTGCTTCCCTTTCTGTGAGATTCTAGAAAAGGCAGACAATCGTGAGGGAAAGTGGGTGCCTGTGGCTGAGTGGGTGGCAGAGAGGAGAACTGACTGGGACAGGACCCGGGGAACTTTTTAGAGACACAGGTTTTGTATCTCGAACGTTGTGGAGGCTGTACAACTGACTAATTTCCAAAACTCATCCAACTGTGCATTTCGAATGGGTGAATTTCATTGCATGTAAGTTGTACCTCTATAAAACTGGGAAAATTCAATTTCTATAAAAAGGACATAAAATATTCCCTTCCAGAGGTAAATGTCATTTACAAATTGTAACACGATCATTTGGAAACCCGACTGAGTTTAACATGACAAGGAATAATTCTGCCGTCTAACCCCAGTCTTACAGCGGCTGTGTATCCAGCACAGTGCGGGGTGGGGGGCGTACCCCACAGAGCTTTCTGAAGCCAGCTCCACCCGCCAGGCCGCAGGGACACGGACAGTCGGCAATGACAAAGCCATGTGACGCCGGGGCGGTCGCTGGCCGCGCTAGCATGCGTGCTTTTCTCATCGCCTCTGACTTTAGAAAGACACGGACAAGTGGAACAAGCAAGGGCAAGACAGCGTTCGTCATATTTATTACTGTTCTCAGATTGGTATCTGTAAGTGGGACCGAGAGAAAATGAATGGCCTAAACTCTCAGTGTCCGTTACTGCCCTGCATTCTACCGGGTCCTTTCTGAAGCAACAAGGAGAGAAGGAAGCAGCTGTTCCCCGTAGCAGGGACATGGCTGACATGGCTCTTTCCTGGGTAGCCAGAAGCCAAGGGCCCCGAGGAACTTCCCAGGTAGGGGACAGGGAGTGTCCGGTCTTTTAAAACGTCCATCAGGCTTTATTTTTACTTTAATACTGATTCTTTCAGAAACTGGAGGTTTATGGGAAAAAACTTGCACGCCAGTTTAAGAAAAGGTGCAAAGGATTTCCCCTGGGTGTGAATAAATACCTTTCTTAGCACAACTCTTTGTTCATGTCTAGGAATTCTGCTTGTCAAACATCCTTTAGGCTTTTAGAAAATCGTCGTCTCTGCAAGAAGTAGTTTGGAAAGAAACTGTAACAACCAGAGGCCGTGGTTTTGGAAGGGGTTTCTTACAGAGACTTCGAGGTACGTATGTGTGTCTATCTGGCTTCTGATGGGATCTTGTCGGCCCCTCTTTAAACATACGATTCATTTTGGTTTTAGAAATGTTGACGGCAACGCATTTCAGTTAAGCTTTCTGGGTAAAAGCGACATCTGCCACCAATCTGGCTGCTGGGTGTTCAAACTGCCTGACATCTCTTTTCCTCCTTTTCACTTTAAAAACCACTCTGACAAGCATTTAAGCATGTTAGCGAGCTCAAGTTAAGATTATGTCAGAGTGAAACGTGTGATTCGTTCGTCAGTATTTACAGGAAGTCTGAGAACTCAGTGCGACAGGGGCTGGGTGTTGATTCACCGGGCAGGTACTCCGGTGGGTCTATCAGAACACAAAGCCTTCTCACCAGTTTTCTGGGGCCCTATGACCAAGAACTTCGGTAAGCGATCGCAGGTTTTCTCCTTCGACCAAATGTCTCTGTGGCGCTTGTCATCGCAGGGATTCTGAACGGGAGAAGAAGACAGAGATGTACTCGCATTTTTTTTTTTGTGAGTGTCTATTGTGTGCTAGAGTTTTCCCAGTTCTGCCCTTAATAAGACGTCCCAGGAAACAGGCGTTGAAGCAGCAACATGGAAGCTTTCAGATAACTGTGGGGAGGGGACACAGTCCCACTCCAGAGACCCCGCAGCACGAGGCGGGACACGCCTCCCGCGATCAGCAGCTCTGCCAAGCGTGCACGCGTGCCTGTGCTTTAAGACAGGGAGCTTGCTGGGCAGAGGCCACGCTTCTGCTGCGGTAAAAGGAGGCCGTTTTCAGCACTCGGTGAGCGACTGAAACAGACAAGGTGCCAGGCTTTTATCCTGAGGAACGCGGAGCTTTCCTGCTTTGCTTCAAAGCAGTATGGACCTGGCTGTAATAATGCTATTTGAAGAGACAGCAGATTTCTTACAGCTGCCCTCCAAAGGTCAGTAAATGTAGATCTAAAACTGTAACTTTACAGGCTATGGTGCTGAAAAGCACTAAATTTTAGCAAAATGGTAAAATGAGGGTGAACTACAACATTAGGTGTATGTGTAAGATGTATCCGGAACAGTGATTTCTGACCATTTTCATCTCACGGCACGTATAAGCTAATTGCTAAAATTCTGCAGCACACCAAACAATATATTTTTTGCTGACTTGACAAAAAGTAGGTATAATTTTGATTCATTCACACTGGACAGCTATTGTGTTGGCCGCTGTGACTTTTTTGACAACCCAAGGGAAGAGTGCCCCGACTAAGTAGTCAGGTGTTGCATATTTTATGAATTCTTGCAGCGCACCGGTTGAAAATCACTGATCTAGAACATCCTCAATTTTAACTGCAAAGTGCATACTATGTGGAGAATTGATAGGGCCCTTTACTACTATTTTAGAAATGGGCAGATACATTCTACTGTTAATACTGTAGATGTTTACAATAAACAGCAGATGTTAAGACTAACGTGAGGGTATTCTTGTTGGCTACTGTTCTGGAAAAATATTGATTTCAAACCTGTCACCTGAAATCATAATAATTTCAGTTTAAAGATAAGGTGTTAAAGTGCAGGAAAATTGCGTGTCTTTCTAGTGGCTAACATTTTGTGAGGTTTGGTAGTAGTTATAAAGATGTGTGTTACAGCAACTCCAAACTATATGCAGTGATTATTGCACGGCCACCAACTTTAACCTACTAAAATGCGTAGTTGTGTCTGGTTTGCGGTTATCCGTTTGTGCTCAGGAGGTAACTAGCTCAAGCTCAAAGCTGCACGAACTGCACATGGAGTCCAGGGCTCACTGCAGCTCAGTCTGTGGAATCCACTGAGCTCTGTGCCGGAGGAGTGTGAGTGCACCCTCAGCTGTCAGCCATTCTAGCAGCAGTAGGGGCTGGTGACTGATAGCGCAGTCTCCGAGACAGACGGCCTGGGACTGATTCCCACCCTGCCGTTCACCAGCTCCATGACCTTGTTTCAGTGTCTCAGCCTTTCTGTGCCTCAGTTTCTTTATCTGTAAAATGGGGATAATAATTGGACCTACCACATAGGGTAGTCGTGAGGATTCAATGAGTCTGACACACAGCAAGTGCTATGTAATTATCTGCTCCAATGATTACTTTCCCCAGATCATGAGCGGGCAGTTTACGTTGAAAGTATATTCCTGCGATTCTAGGGTGCACAAGAGTGTACTCTTTGAAATCCTGGTTGCCTTCAGAACAGTTTGAAGATGTCATATTTATGTAATATATTCTCTTAAGAAGCTCCGTGATTTTGCCGCGTCTAAAGTCATTCCCGAACAATACTTTGAGAGCCGCCCCCGCCCCACAGCTGCTGGTGTGCCCCGTGGTTTCAGAGGCAGACGTCAGTGTGAGCTCTCCTCACCTGTCCCTTTAACGTGTTTGTCCCTGGAGATGGGCATGTGCTCAGGGGGACCGGCCAGCCAGCTGCCTAGCACACACCCTGCTACCTGTCTTCCCACCTGTCAGCCGACTGCGTCTGCAGACCGGCCCTTCCCAGCTGAAACCACTGTCCCCACGGGAGCCCTCATGGAGCTTTCAAATCCCAGCACTTCCACTGGGCACAGAGCAGAGAGCATGGCCTGTCATGGAGCAATGATGTGAAGCTTCAGTTCAGGAAGGAGCAGCTTCTCGAGTCTGCTAACATTTCCAAAACATTCACATTCCCCTCACCCCACCCAAAACCCCGGATGCCTTCGCTTTTCAGATTTCAGTTATCTTACACAACTCCAAGTTATGTTTGTGGGGGTAATTAATTACACCAATTATTGACTGAATCTTACCTGCCAGAGAGGGTCTTTTTGATCCGGAAAGAGCTCAAAATACTTGTGAGCCAGCTGCGCTGGGGGCAGAGTCCGCAGGCGCAGGTTGGTCCAGCTCTGCACGAAGTTGGCCAGGTTCACGAACGTGTACGACCCCAGGCGGTCGTTCCCATAGTTGGACAGATGGGTCATGAAAATGCTGATCTGAAAAGGGCACATGAACTTGAGTGTAAACAAATGTGATTTTAATCCGTGGGGGCAGAGCCACTGCAGCAACGCTGGCCTTTTCGTAAGTCGTCTGCACAGGGTTGCTGTTCCTGACACTTTTTTTAATTTCGGTCAGATCCCAAATACTCTCATTGTGTGAATGCACACCCAGGGTGTGCTCTTAGCAAGGCCGCATGAGCATTTTCCCTGGGGTTTGAATGTAGTTCATAACAACAAAAAATGAATCCAACTTCCACATATCAGGCTGGTACGATTAGACGGATGCTAAGCCACTTGTCCCTGAAGGTCCCCCATGAGGCCTCAGGCTATGTGAACTCCTCATAAGTGGAGGCAACAAAGTCCCAGGACATTGGGATTTTGTAATGTCAACCCACTTAACTTGGCTTATAAATTGGGTATAAAAACAATCAATGAATGGTCAGCATTAGCATTAACTGAGTATCTTCTGATTTGTATTTATTAGAGGTCATTCTGACAACAGACAAGTGAGAGACGTTTTACTAAGATAACCGTTAACTATTTCCCATCAATAACACTTTCAAACCTTCTTTCCATCTTTATTGGATCTACTATTCTCAATATCGAATGTATCCTTTAAGAAAAGTTTTCAGTGCTTGGCTAGATGAGATCAACTCTTTCTGCAGAAACACATGCATTAAACAAAATCACAGCATTTCATTTACAATATGTTTGAATTCTGTAGGTTTGATGAAATTGGTCTGGAATGTGGAATAGGCATTTTTAAATAAACTTACTGCTTTTTGTTGGTAAGTGTTAGCAAAGAGGAATAATTCTGCATGATTTTCCAGGGCAAAGAAAGCCATTGTGGCATTTATGCTACTATAAAAAAGATCATGAAAATAATTCATGTAATAATAGTACTTTCTTAAAATATATAATACTATGTGAGTGAATAGTAATAAGGGTTATTATAATCATCATCATAATGAATATAGTAGGTTCATTCATTAAAAGACTGAAAAAATATTCAAGAAAATTTATTGAAGTAAAGTGGCACAGGAGAGAGAAAGGTTATATTAAGATTTGATATAATTGGAGAATCAAGGTGGCGGAGGAGTGGAAGTCACACTGACCTCCTCCTAGGACCAACCTGAAATTACAACTAAATTATGGAGAAATCACCTGGAACAAACAACTGAACAATAGCCTGAGAGAGGACCCTTGTATCCTCGGAGACAGAAGAATCGGCTTTAGTGCAACCTAACTGGTAAGGAGTGTGGAATAGACTCGAGAAGGTGGGCAGGGTGCCCACAGGCGGCAGCACCAGAAGGATATTGAAATGGCCAGTTGGATCCCCCTGAGAAGAGCGGGGTCTCAGCTAAAAGCGGGGATCTCTAGCCCACAGCACCAGAGCCCCAAAAGTACACAGAAAACAGCCAGCTGTGAAAAGTGGTAGGGTTGCTCTCTGCCAGAGACTGGTGGCTAGAAACGCAAAGAACCGTTTGAAGGGCCAACGCACAAATTTTTATTTCCAGCCACTTACCCTGGGCTCCGGCAAAGGCAGGGACAGAGCGGGCTAGAGATGCTGGAGGAGAGACAGGGGAAGGAGGCTTTGGGGAGAGAACTGAGAGTAGCCTGTGGGATCTCGGTGCTGACTCATTCCCGCATGCAGCAGCAGCCATCTTGCTCAGGCAGAGATCACGCCCCCTGTGTGTCAGCAGCGTCAAAGGACCCAATAGCCCCGCCCCCAGGCGGGACTCCACCTTGCCCTGAGCTGTCTAAGGCGGCCTGCTGAGTGCAAAGTGACTAGATTTACAGCTGAAGGAGACAGCCACAGACAGTAGATTCCTGGAAGTCTCGAACAGACTGCCTAAGGTCAGACAGGGACGACATGTGATGTCATCAGAGGCAGATCCAGAAAGTAAATACAGTGGTCTCCTACCATAGAAGTTCACACCACAAAGTCAGGAAATCACGACAGATCAACTTAAGAAGCAGAAGCAAAACAGAAGTCTCACAAATAATGGGAAGACAAAGAAATACCCCCACTGGAAGGGAAAGGAAGAATCCCCACAAAAAGAACTAAATGAAATAGAGGCAAGTAAACTATCAGATACTGAATTCCAACCAACAGTTCTAAGGAAGCTCAATGAGCTCAGTGAGCTCAGAGGGAATTACAAACAACTACAGGGAAACTACGAGGAACTTGCTGAAAACTATATTAGCATGAAAAAGGACACGGAAACTATCAATAAGAGACAAGAGGAAATGAAGAATACAATTTCTGAATTGAAGAACACAGTAGAAGGAATCAAAAGCAGGCTAAATGGAGCAGAGGAATGAATCAGCGAGCTGGAGGATAAGGCAGGAAGAAAACTCCCAGAAAGAGCAAGAAAATGAAAAAAGACTCAAAAAGAATGAAGAGGCATTTAGGGAAATGCAGGGCAACCTGAAATATAATAATATCCATATATTAGGGATACCAGAAGGAGAAGAGGATGAGGAAGGGATAGAGAACCTGTTTGAAAAAGTAATGATGGAAAACTTCCCTAATTGGAGGAGAGAAAAAGTCACACAAGTCCAGGAAGCACAGAGGGTCCCACTCCAAGACACATCATCGTTAAAATGGCAAATATCAAAGACAAACAGAGAATCCTAAAGGCAGCAAGGGAGAAAGAGGTAGTAACATATAAGGGAGCCCCAATACGGCTAGAAGCTGACTTCTCAACAGACTCATTTGCAAGCCAGAAGGGAGTGGCAAGAAATATTCCAAGTCATGAAAAGCAAAGGCCTGCAACCAAGACTGCTCCACCCGGCAAGGCTCTCAATTAAAATAGAAGGCAAAATAAGGAGTTTCCCAGACAAAAGAAGGCTAAAAGAATATATCTCCACTAAACCAGCACTGCAAAAATATGCTAAAAGGACTGCTTTAAGATGAAGAAAGAAAGTCTATGAATACCCAGTTCCTTTCACAGTTGCCAATACTTGATATTACCAATATTTTTTAATACATATTAATCTGATTGGGACAATGATATTATTTTAATTGTTCCTTTATTATTTGTTGAAACTAAACCTGTTTTTGTATATTTCTTGTCTATTTCTATTATTTTTAAAAAGCTTTAAATTACTTTTTGGTATTCTTTATTCATTTTTTTATTAAATGTTTGTAGAATTTTTTCCCTAAAACGCCCCCAAAAACAACAACAAAAAAATTAACCCTTTTTTATATGTGTTGCAAATACTTTCCTATTCTATTACTTGTCCTTTAGCTTTTTTATATGTATATTACTGTACAGTGTTAAATATTTAATACAGTCATATTGTCAATATTTTACTTTATAGCTTCTGGGTTTGAATATTTTACCTCAGGGTAAGAAAAATACTAGTTTGTATTTTCTCCTAAAACTCCTTAGATTCTACATATTAATTTTTAAGTCACCTTAATATTTCTTGTATAATGTGTGAAATAGGGCTCTATATTTGTTTTATTTCAAGTAATAGTGATCCATGCACCTTATTTGTTGAATAAGCCTTATTTTACCCAATGATTTGAAATATCAACTTAATCATATATTACATTGTTAGATAGATAGATATATATGTTTGTCTCTAGGATGCTCAATATATTTCATTCATCTACTTGATTATTTCTGTGCTGGTGTCATGTTGGTTTAATTGCTGAAACTTTATAATGGTTTTACATTTTTAAATATTTTATAATTAACTTTGACATTAAAAAAATAAAATCAATCTGCACTTAGGAAAGAAAGAAGGAAAGAAAGAGAGATGGAACTTCTACCTTTTGTGACAACGTGGATGGAACTGAAGATTATTAAGCTAAGTGAAATAAGCCAGTTGGTGAAAGACAAATACCATATGATCTCTCCTATAAGTGGACTCTATTCAACAAAATAAACGAATGAACAAAATAAACCACAGGCATGGAAACATGGAGCAGACTGAAAGTGACCAGAGGGGATGGGGAAAGAGGACAATGGTGGCAAGAAGGGGAAGGGACTAGACAAAGAACATTATGAATGACCCACGGACATGGACAACAGAGTGGGAATGGACTGTGGGAGCGGGGGGTGGGGGTGGGCTGGGTGGAGGGGGCAAAGGGGGAAAAATTGAGACAACTGTAATAGAGTAAACATGATTTATACATTTAAATTTAAAAAAAAATAAAATACTTAGGTTGAAAAGTTAAAAAAAAACAAAAAAGAACTCAATTATATTGTGTAACTAAGAGTCAGGGGCAGAAATGTAAGGAAAAATGGTCACTCACACAATGTTATCTGTCGATTATATCTCAATAAAGCTGGGGGAGAATTAAACAAAAAGATTTGATATAATAAATCAGGAAAATGTAATTACTTACAAATAGGAATAAGAGGAAACAATGATGCCTATATTCTAAAGAGCAAATCTGCAGGCTTTCATGTTAAAACTTCCACTATGACCAAGAATATTTAATTATATTTCTATCCACTCTGTCTGAATATACACGAGATCTTAGAACTTTCATAAACAAAATACTTTGCTGGTGGCTTAAAATAGCCACCAGCAGACTGATACAGTCATGGAATTGATAAGTAAGGCATTTCTAATTTGGGGTATTTCTAAAAAACAAGACAAAATTTTGGTTATTTTTTATAGCAGCTTTGTTTCTCTTTCTCTTACTTCCCCCTCTTCTTATCTCCTCCAAAATTTATTACAATGGTAGGCCATTGAGAGATTGAAGAAACTCGTACTTAAATCTGGAAGTTTTTTATTAATGACTATTGTAGGCAGTCTTTGGTCACTCATTTTATATGCCACATTTTTCAACTAGCTCAATGACAGTAGCAAATGCCACCTCCTCACAGAGGCGGGCATGTCCTCAGGGGGACCAGCTGGCTACCTGCCTCCCTCGCACCTGCGAGCCAGCTTCTCACCCTTCAGCCGCTCACAGTCAGCCAACTGACCCCACGCATACCTAGTTACTTCAAATTTCTTGCTTTACTTTTATGAGA